ATCTAATAGATATTTTGCACATATAAACAGACAGAACTAATACCTTCCAAAGCACACACCAAAAAATAAACCAATTTTAAATGTGACCACAACTAAAACACAACTACTTTGGCCTAAAGTGATAGCACCTCTACCTTCTGACATGCTAAGTGCAAGACAGAATAAGCTGATTCATACTAAAGGTATCAGTATCTAGCATAAGGATGACCATCCACAACCTGGCAAAAATAGGCTCAATGCTCCCTCTAAGCTGTGGACTCTTGTGAGCAAAAATTCTGCTTTGTGAGCTACTGGCATTAAAGTTGTGAGTGAGTGACTTGGCTACTGCATAAATTAGTTTGCTCTCGAGCCATCCTTCCTGAGCTAAGACAAAAATGTGTGAGCTTGAGGCTAAAAAACTGTGAGCTAGTTCACACTAACTCAGTTTAGAGGGAACACTGGCTTTAATCCCTGTATTTGGGGAAAGGTTGCTAAGAGGTGCTGGAGGTGGTACACTCCACATAAAACTGGTTTGGACTAGGGTTGCCAGACCATGCCTGGCAACTGACAGGAGGTTCAGTGGCAGGGGCATGAAGGGCCATGATATCCTGTCCGCCATATGTCACCTGGAAGTGACACAGGGTCATTCTAAGAATTGCTGGAAACTCAATGGTAGAACCATAGAATTTCTGGTGATACCTACAGTTACCCTACATCCTGGCTTTCCCTGGAAGTGATGTAGCAGCACAAAGGATGCTGCTTATTTTTTTTTCTCCAGGACAACTGCGGGCAGGAGGCCTCCAATCATACCAGGAGGCCTTGCAGGTCTAGTTCGAACCAGTTAAGGGAACTCCAAATTATATATTAAGGGGACATATATTCAAAATATTGAATCTTTAATGTGCAGTTGTATCCATCACAAAGAACAATGTAGGGCAGTTACTTTTGAACCAAATAATGAAGTGACTACTGCTTAGAAAGAAATAATTGTAAGACTCCTCCTGAAGAAGACACGCTGGACCCCAGTGACCTAAGTAACTATGATTGGATGGGCAATATTTCAGTCTTAGACAAGGTGCTCAAACAGATGGGTCTACATAGCTTCAAGTATTCTAGGAGACATTATCTTGACCCTTTTCAAATCTGAGTCTTCCAGAGCCTAATCTACCTCTCTAACCACTACACCATGCTGGTTAAACTATGTGCACAGTTGCTGAATTTGTGCAAATTTAATTTGGTTAATTGTAGATGTTAACAGTTTAGCTTATTTTGTTTAAGAACTTGTACCTCTAATTATCCATTCCTGTGAGTAAAGATTACTAGGCTTGGTCTAACAACTATTAATACATTGTGTTTATGAAGGGCTGGAAGCCCTGGAAACAAATGATGCCTAATTATCCAAGTTATTTGTGGCACTGTGCATATCAGAAGGGAATTACTAGGATGATACAATGATTTAATTCTGCTTCTTTCACTGTATGCAAAGCTTCAACTGTTTCTTTTGTAGGATAATTGGACACTCTTGCTGCTGAGAGACTAAAAGAACACAGCACCTTCTTGCAGTTTATTTTGTTAACAGAGTTCACACTAGCACTCAACCCTCTGGAAAGGTAAATTCTGCTCACTGGGATGCATGGCGTCTTGCCAACCAGAGTATCCACCACTAGTTTGAATACTTGTGGCTGTGTAGACCAATCTGCTTGAGCACTTGTCTAAGATTGAAATATTGTCCATCCAATCATAGTTACTTAGGTCAGAGCCAATTTGGTGAAGTGCAGGGGTGGCCAAACTGCAGCTCGGCTCTTTCACACAGTCTCATTTAATGTTTATAAAAAGCAAATTTGCATATTTTTCAATAAAAATGTGTGTGTGATATTTGTTCATGTCTTGCAGCTCTCAAACATCTGACATTTATTCTGTGTGGCTGTTACATTAAGCAAGTTTGGCCACCTGTGGTGTAGTGGTTAAGAGCGCAGACTCTACTCTAGGAGAATTGGGTTTGATTCCCCACTCCTCCAAATGCAACTGCTGGTCTGACCTAGGGTCAGTCATAAGTTCTTTCAGAGCTGTTCTCTCAAGAGCAGTTCTCTCAGAGCTCTCTCAGCCCCAGCTACCTCACAGGGTGTCTGTTGTGGGGAGGGGAGGGGAAGGGAAAGGAAATTGTAAGTTGCTCTGAGACCCCTTCTGGTAGTGAAGGGGAGGGTATAAATCCAATTATCATCATTTCTTCCTCCTCCTCCTCTTCCTTCTTCTTCACCAAGGACATCTCTCCATGTTTCTTAGCAGTGAGAAATCTCAGTGTACTAAGAGTCAATCTCATTTATTCCCTGACATTTCACTGCAGAGATGAAGTAGTGTTACCTAGGATGCACTGCATTTGCACAAACACAATCTCCTCGAAAAAGATCCCAATCAAGAGGAAGCTACTTGCACCTAAATTGCACTAAAATCAATGGATAGTTCTTCTCAACTTGTTCCATTAATTTAAACAGGACTTGTGTGGTGAACTGTCTTTACTTCTTGGCTATTTTAATTTATTCAGTATGATAGATTTTTGGAAAACTCAATTATTGTCCACCTATGACACAACCTTTATCAAGTCTCAGGATATGATTTAAATCCCGCTGTCAGGTGCATACTGCAGGTTCTTTCATCCCCCTTCTGCTCCTGATCACAACCCCAAAGTAGCTGTTTAGAAAAATCCAGACCACTGCGAGAAAGAAATCTATAATTGTATATAACATGTAATTTATGTTACTTGTAGTTTGGTCCCCAAAGTTGCTTCCAAAAGAAATGCTAGAACACTTCTTTAAAAATTGGCAATATGCTTAAAAGGATGCATCATGCACGAATTTTTACTGTATCATATCCAGTCTTCTACCATGGAACAGAAGTAGCATACACAGGATTCCCAGAGGCTCTTCTGTCCAGGCACTGGTCCTAGCTAGATCTGCTTGGCTTCAGCAAAGCTGCCACATCATTCTCCAACTGTACCCTGGACACATGATATTTCAGCATCTGGATGTATTCTTTGGGTAGTATAAAAAATGTGCATCTTCCCATATGATCATATGAAACCAGAATTAGCCTCATTACCAAATGCCATTTTCCCCATCATGCAGAAGGCAACATTTGCCTCAGATTACATTAGAAAATTATGGATGTGCCTTTCCTGGTAGTGCAAAAACACTGTTGGATGCCCATCCTTTGTTCAGTGGACCACTTTCTCATAAATGATCACCTGATGTTGGGGAGAGACTGAGACCAGAGTTCTGCTCGGAGGTGGAGGGGAGGAGGAAGAAAGCAGAAAGAAATTAAGCAAAGAGAACTGTGAGATAACTAGACTGAAGAGATGGCATGGAAAACTGCAGAGGTCTATACTGGTGCTCCCTAGCAACCTGATACACAATCAGAAGTTTTACTGTCTGTTTGAGGAGTCTGCTTGCTTCCAGTAGGCTCTGCTTAGATATTTGGAAATGAAACAAATAATTCTAAAACACCATGATGCTTCATAACTCTCTTATCTACAGGAAACAAAATCTACAGGAAATCCCATAATGATACATACTGTGATATATTATGATGACATTGCATTAAAACTAACAACAGAACAACCTATGCAAAAAGCCACAGAAAAGAATAAATATTAATGAAAACGTTGTTAGGGGGGAAAATTAGTGTCAAGCACAATAACTGTTTAAAAACTTACACTTCCAGCCCAAAGCTCATTGGTTCTTCCTGTTAATTTATAATACACGTACACGGATTCACCTTCTTTGAATGCTACAAAGCGGCAATCTGGACCTTTAAAGTCTTTCACTGCTTTTCCTCGACACATTAGCACTGTTGAAAGAAAGCACAAAAAAGAATGGCAATATAATTCTTTATAACACTTCTCCAGACAATAAGGGAAATGTGTCATTATCATGTACTGGAGGCAGAATTTGTGTACAAAAGGATGTGGCCCAGAAATGAGAAGTTAAGACTGGAGAAAAGATGGTAACATAATAACTGTATCTCTGAAGCAGTAGAAAAGAGTAAAAGTCCAGTAGCACCTTAAAAACTAACAACATTTGTGGCCGGGTATGAGCTTTTGTGAGTCACCGCTCACTTCTGTCTGAATGTATTCTGTATGTCTGAACAATCTGTTAAAACAATACAGTAAGACAATACAATAATATAATTGTCAATTGCAAATGGGTAGCGGACAGTAAGACAATACAATAATATAATTGTATATGGGTAGCAGTGTTAATGCTACAGCCAAAATACTGTTATGAGTATGACATCTCAAAGACTAGTGAATTTATTGTAGCATAACCTTTCATGTGCCAAAGTTCACGTCATCAGATGCATAAACATACGGTGAACAGA